CGAGGTGGGGAGTCCCAGCGGTGCTTACCTGGGGTGGCTCCCGGGAAGCATCCAGCAGGTCCCTCTGGCTCCTAGGGTCGGGTGGGGGGGCGGAGGGCTCTCTGCCCGCTGCCAGCGCCTGCAAGCCCCGCCCCTGCAGCTCTGATTGGGCAGGAGGGAGCCGGTGCAGCATGCAGAGACCCCCTCGGCCTCTGTGCCTAGGGGCTGCCCACACTGCCGGCAGGCGGGCGCCGGGAGCTGCCCCAGGAAGCGCCGCCAGCGAGCCCCGGGACTTTGGTGCGCGCGGTGAGGTGAGTGGTCCCTGATATCAGGACAAAGGACGTTCCGACCAATGTGGCAAAATCCCAAATGTTTTTAGATATTTAAAAATTCCTCCCAGACGGCGATTTAAGAACCAAAAAGCCGGACATGTCCGGGAAAATACAGACATATGGTAACCCTAGGATTGGGGCCTAAAACTTTAGGCAAGAAATGATGAGAGATAGTGACAAACAATAGGGCTGGAGCAGGGCACTGTAAGGACAAGGGCTATAGTAGTGAGATTATTAAGTTACTGAGGTTGTTGTTTACACATCTTGGTGGCTTATTATACAGCTGAGTCAATAATTGATTTTTCAATTTGATGGCCAAACTGAAAAATCTGAAAAAAAATGATTTGTTTCAAACCGAAACTGATTTTTTTTCCTGCTGAACCAAAAAAGAAAGTTTTGTTTGGGTTGAACGAAACATTTCAATTGTCATTTCAAATAAAGATTTCAAAACACAATGTTGATTTGAAGCATTTTCTAAATGAAATGGTGATTCAAAATGAAGAGGTGTGCCAAAAAATGCTGAACAGTGAAATCATAAACTACTGGAAGTGTAGGCAAATGCAAAGTCATTAGTATGGGCTAATTAATACAATCAGTGCCCATTTAGGGCACCACATTTAATGGAGGTTCGCAGGAGAAGTGCTGACCGTGCCATGAACTAACTGCCCTGACCGAAACCATTTATACTCACCCGTAGGGGTTCTGTTTGCCTGTTTCTCCATAAAGAATGTGTTTTTGTTCTGTCTCAGCTGTGTGTAGTGGGCAACACTGCATCACTGTAGCAAAGAGATGAGGGAGGGCATTTGAAGTACCATCTGCAGGTAACTCAGAGACAGCCTTTTAGATGAAGAAATGATATAGAAAGAGCTAGGTGGGTGATGAAAAGAGGAGCACCTAAGGGTAAGAGGAAAAATGCTTTCTTTTTTTAAAACACCAAAGTATACAGGGCCAACCATGAGAGTTGGAGCATAAACAAACAGCTTTGTGAAGGAATGAACTTCAGTTAATCAAACAACTGACTCATTGTAATAACCCCGTCATATAAAGGTGATGTAGTTTGTATGCTACTGTGTATTTTGTCAATAAATTTGTGGAAGCACTGCAGCACAGTTTTGAGAAATAGGTACATGGGGAGAATTTAGGATACATTTGTTAGATTATCCTTCGCAAACCATAGTGCAGAAGATTACAGTGGGAACAGGAAAGAACTTGCTGACTTTGTAAAAATCAAAGCCTGCAGCTTGCACACATCCATAATTATGAAACAACTGTTAAAAATGTGGATAATGATTCAAAAGTTCATAGTTTAAAAAAAATTACACAACAGTGAAACAGCACCTCCTTTCAATTCCTTATGACTAAGGCTGCATGTTTGTCACAGAGGTCACGGATTCTGTGACTTTCTGCAGAGATAGCAGCAGCAGTTTGGGTGTGTGGGAGGGGGCTCAGGGCAGGGGCAGAGGGTTGGGCTGCATAGTAGCGCTTACGTGGGGGGCGGGTGGCTCCCCGGCTCCTACCAGTATATCCCTGCAGCTCCTAGGTGGAGGGGCTAGGGGGGCTCTGCGCATTGACCATGCCCACAGGTGCTGCCCCCACAGCTCCCATTGGCTGCAGTTCCCAGCCAATGGGAGCTATGGAGACGGCACTTGTGGCAGGAGCAGCGTGCGGAGCCCCCCTAGCCGCCCCAGGAGCTACAGGAACCTGCCGCTTGGAGTTGGGTAGGGTGCCTACCAGCCCTGCCAACCCTCCCCCCCCCAGCACCAGTGGGGATCCCAGGCTGTGTGCTGCTGCCCACCCCCCTCCCAGCTTCAGCGGGGGCCCGGGTTGCACACTGCCGCCCGCCTCCCACCCCAACACCCGCAGCCCCCCGGCCCAAGTTTTAGTTAGGGGTATATAGTAAAAGTCATGGACAGGTCAACCATGACCTATCCATGACTTTTACTAAAAATACCCATGACTAAAACCTAACAACCCTCCAGATCAACAACCGTCAACAAACCAACTATCTCAGATGTTACAATTGGGATGTTTACAACTCACCCTTGCACCTCCTTCTTAAACTGCACACTTCCTTAATTAATAAATTACTCTGTACAAAGATGCTGGTCAGTGCTGGAACAGAAAGATGGTCAACACCCACTTTGATAACTGTCCTTAGGAGAAGCCAAAGAAGCAGTTTCACTAGACTCTTCCATAATATAGTTGGAGTGTGTAGAGATAGCTACAGCAAAGGTTGCTTCCATCTTTCCATCAGATATGTACATTTTATGGCCCTGAGTCAGCTAAGCACATCAATGGGATTCAAGCAGGTGTTTAAGGGTATGTCTACACTGTAGTGTAAGCCCAGGGTCTGAACTCAGGCTCAAGCCTAACTCCTCTTCCATCTACACACAAATCATGTTAACCCAGGGCTCAGACCCAGGTCCCCATTGGGGTGAATGGTCTGAGCTTAAGTCAAACCAGGACTCAGGGTCCAAGCTCTATTGCTTTGCAGTGTAGATACAGCCACACTGGATTTGTGCTCTGGGAGTCCACCAAAAGCATCCCACAATCTCACGGGCCAATTGTCTTTGTCCTCTGGAAAGTCAAGTTTGGTGGATAGTCAAGTT